TCGTTTCGTTAATTCGTAATTCGTTAATAATTCATTATTTTTTTCAATTACAAAACGATAACGAACCATTCTGGAGCAATTTTTAAAAAAACGAATTTTTAAACACGTTTTGTAAATGCTTCGTATTTCGTTATTGTATTCGTTTCGTTATTGTTCTGAGGTCGTTTCGTTATTATTTCCGCATGTCTGGGGCAAGTTTTTTGTTTAATTAGTGAAAAAAAAATTATAATATCACACCAACAGTCAACAACAGAGGGAGAGGGAAGCTTCAGAAGTTTTTGGAGGTTTTTTAGCGTATTTCGCGGTCGCGTCCGCCATTAACGAATCGATTCGTTATTGTTTCGGAAATCGATTCGTTAATGTTTTGTAATTTTTTTCACATTTACGAAATTTCGTAAATACCGAACTTTTTTAAGGGAAAATTTTGTAATTATTTTAAATATCGAAACAAAAAAAAACCCCAAATACAAATCGATTTTAGAAACAAATTTTTCCGTTGTTACCCAGGCCTAATGTCTACATAGGGACCACCAAATGCAGCATTGCACAAACACAAATCAAGGAACATGAAAGGCACTGCAGACTACTTCAACCAGAGAAGTCAGCCATGATTTTGTCAATCCACTGAAGATTTGCATAGATTTCCATACCTGACACTTCATAAATCCCCTCTTGGGTCCTCACCACAGTAAAGACATTTTCAGGGAAACGGGAGAAATTGTTGTATTAACAGCGCTGGAATCATGTTACAATTATCTTTGATATGTCTCATCTTGAGTATCTTTAAAGGTAGGTTTATTGGGATGTTCTTTCTCTCTCAGCTCCTGTGCAAAAATTGACATTTCATTCACATGTTTAATTTTTTCCCTTCTAGAGTCAAGTGGGGAGATCGTTGTCACTCAGACCCCAGACACTTTACACAAAAATCCTGGGGACAGAGTCGACATTCAGTGCAAGGCTTCCTCTTCAATCACTACTGCCATGAACTTCTATCAGTTTCTACCAGGACAAAAACCTAAGCTACTGATTTATTATGCTACCAGCCGTTTTGAAGGGACCCCAGATCGCTTCAGTGGAAGAGGAAGTGGCACTGACTTCACCTTCACTATCAATGGTGTGCGTCCTGAGGATGAAGGGGAGTATTACTGTGGCCAAGGCTACAGCTACCCTCTACACAGTGATACACTTCATGACAAAAACCTCCTTGATAACTATGACTGCAACAGTAGTTTGAATTGAGCTGTGCAAGATTTCTTCGAATGTACATAGAGAGGCCGAAATGGGAATTCCAACTACCCCTTTTCTATTACACCTCCCAACACCTGAGAAATGCTAATAAATAACTAAAATGAGAATTTCTCTCATTCAGAAGAAGCTTTTTATCTATCCTTTTTTCCTTTTTTAATAACAATATTTTATTGAATTTCCACAACATATACAATATCCGAGAGCAACAACCCACTCATACTATGAGGACTGAGTTGTACATGCTATTTCATGGGCTTAAGAAGGGAGAGGGCCTTCTCAGTGGTGGCCCCTCGACTCTGGAACTCACTCCCCAAGGACATCAAGCATGACCCAACTCTGGCAGTCTTTAGGAGTCTGAAAACGTGGTTGTTCCAGTGTGTCTTCCCAGAATAAGGAAACTCCCAGCAATATGTCTTCTAAATGCACTTTATTATTGATCTAGGAATGTCTGCACGCGCATCCCTTTCTGAAAACTGTATCCTAGTCATATTTCACCTGTTCATGCTCAGCATTATTTTTAAATTTTAATTATTACATTTGGCCCAGCCATAGGTTGTGTTACTGTTAATGTTTATTGTTTATTTTATGTTATGAGTTTTATTGTTTTGTACTACTTGTTGTTATTGTTTTTATTATTGATGTATTGTGGGCTCGGCCTCATGTAATAATGATAATAATAATAATAAACCTTTATTTATACCCCGCTAACATCTCCCGAAGGACTCGGTGTGGCTTAGAAGAGGCCGAGGCCCAACACATCAATAAAACAACAGCATAACAATACAACAATAAATAAACTTATAAAACAAGCAATAAAGATTAGAACAATAGCAATAAACATTAGACAATAACACCATGACACATTTAAAACTAAGGCTGGGCCAAATGTAATGATTAAAATTTTAAAATGCTGAACATGACAGGTGAGATGGATAGGTTTTTGGAGATAAGTGCGGTGTGCAGACAATCTGAATCTCTAGTAAAGTGCAATTGGGACATGATGCTAGGAGTTTCCTATTCTGGAAAGGCACACTGGAACAGCCACATCTTCAAGCTCTACCTAAAGACTGCCAATGTTGGGGCTTGTCTGATGCTTGTGGAAGGTCGAGGGTGGGAGAAAGAACTCTTGTCTGTTGGAGCTAGATGTGAATGTTTCAATTGGCCACCTTGATTAGCATTTGATGGCCTGACAGTTTTTAAGTGTGGACAAGCTGGAATGTGTCCAGAGGAGGGCAACTAAAATGATAAAGGGTCTGGAGAATAAGCCCTATGAGGACCGGCTTAAGGAGCTGGGCCTGAAGACGAGAAGGCTGAGAGGAGATATGATAGCCATGTATAAATATGTGAGAGGAAGCCACAGGGAGGAGGGAGCAAGCTTGTTTTCTGCTTCCTTGGAGACTAGGATGTGGAACAATGGCTTCAAGCTACAAGAGAGGAGATTCCATCTGAACATGAGGAAGAACTTCCTGACTGTGAGAGCCGTTCAGCAGTGGAACTCTCTGTCCCGGAGTGTGGTGGAGATCCTTCTTTGGAAGCATTTAAACAGAGGCTGGATGGCCATCTGTCAGGGGTGAATTGAATGGAATATTCCTTCTTCTTGGCAGGGGATTGGACTGGATGGCCCAAGAGGTCTCTTCCAACTCTTTGATTCTAGGATTCTAGGCTTGTTACAGCTTGGGGGATTATTCGTTGAGAGGTGATTAGGTTTTCATGATTGTTTCTTCTCTGGAGTTCCCCTATGTTTGAGATATGTTCTTTATTTACTGTTATAATTTTAGAGTTTTTACTACTGAATGCCAGATTTTGTTCATTTTCATGGTTCCTTCCTTTCTGTTGAAATTCTAAGACATCAGAAGACCGAGAACTAGCCACGAGAGTAAAGACAAAGACCCACCCAGAGGAAAAGTGTTCTTGCCATACATCAAGGGAACCACTGAGCCCATTGGGAAGCTGATGAGGAAATACAACATACGAACTATCTACAGACCCACCAAGAAAATCCAACAAATGGTACGTTCAGCAAAGGACAAGAGGGATCCTCTCACCTCTGCAGGAGTCTACTGTATACCATGCAGCTGTGGATATTGTGCCGTCGCGCCTGGGGGCTATTATTCTTAATGAAGGAGGGATGGATATGTCATCTTTCCCCAGGGGATTGCTTCTTGCCCTCCTATAGGAAACTAGAACTCTCAAAAACCCAAAGCGCTGTAAATAACTCAAAATAAGTTTTATTGATCACAAAGAGTTATTTCTTTAAAGCAATGAGCTGGAAACTTCAGAGGGGTGAAGAAAAATATACGTTACAGTCTCAGTTACTCCTGGGTTCAAGGTGTTTGAAGCTGAGAAGCCTTTCCAAGTTTCCTCGTTCCTCAATGGCTGTGAATGTCGGAGCAAACCACAACCCCAGTTCAGATGGCCTACGTTTGGAGACTCAGGATCTTCCTCTGATGCCAAAAGAACCAGTTTGAAGGTGCTTGAGACTTCCAAAGTTGTTCAGGTTGGTCTGAACATGAAGCACAAGTCTCAAGGGTAAAAAACCTCAGAACTTGTGCTGAGAGGTAATTTAAATCAGAGTCTTTTAGAGTCAAGTCTCTTACTCACATCCATCTGGTAGAAACTCTGATGGCAGAATGAAAAGAAAGGAAGCACTCCCTTCCTGCAGGAAGAGATGGAGCCAAACAGTACTGATTGACAGCTACAAGTAACCAATCCATCCAACTATACATAAGCAGGGTAAAAAGGCAGGATTAAGCATGATACAACAGTTTAAATCTTGCAACTAACAGTTCTACACATAGGTGGCGCCACTCGCGCCGTCACAGACATGTCTATATAGGGACCACCAAATGCAGCACTGCACAAACGCAAATCAAAGAACGTGAAAGGCACTGCAGACCCCTTCACAGAGAAATCAACCATAGCGGAGCACCCAATGAACCAACCTGGACACAGCATATTATTTAAAAACACAAAAATGCTGAACCACTCTACCAACTACCATGTCAGGTTACACAGAGAAGCCATTGAAATACACAAGCATGTGGACAATTTCAACAAAAAAGATGAAACCATGAAAATGAACAAAATCTGGCTACCAGTATTTAAAAAAATCTAAATTTGTAACTGTAAATAAAGAACAAAACTCAAATACAAGGAGACTCCAGAGAAGAAACAATCAGGAACACCTTATCACCTCTCAACAAAGGATTCCCCCAGACAATAACAAAAATGGTCAGGCTATCAAAATGCTAATCAAGGTGGCCAATTGAAACATTCACACCTAGCTCCAACAGACAAGAGTTCTTTCTCCCACCCTGGACCTTCCACAGATATATAAACCCAATTTTCCTAGTTTCCAACCTCTGAGGATGCCTGCCACATATGCAGGCAAAACGTCAGGAGAGAATGCTTCTTGAACATGGCCATACAGCCCAAAAAACGTACAACAACCCAGTGTTTACTGTCTTGATAAAATATTACATTTCTGAAAATATGAAATACATTGAATAGCTCTGATCTTGTGGTGACATATTGTTCTACTTCATTGTGATTGCTCTATTGAGGTCCCTCTTGAGACCTCATCAGTTGGAAACCCACACCAGGTGATTCTGAGACTTTTCAAGAAGCATAAAACTGCTACAGGGGAGAGACAATGATTTTGTTTCCATCCACTGAAGATTTGCATAGATTTCCATACCCAACTCTTCATAAATCCCCTTTTGGGTCCTCATCACAGTAAAGACATTTTCAGGGAAACGGGAGAAATTGTTGTATTAACAGCGCTGGAATCATGTTACAATTATCTTTGCTATGTCTCATCTTGAGTATCTTTAAAGGTAGGTTTATTGGGATGTTCTTTCTCTCTCAGCTCCTGCGCAAAAATTGACATTTCATTCACATGTTTAATTTTTTCCCTTCTAGAGTCAAGTGGGGAGATCGTTGTCACTCAGACCCCAGACACTTTACACAAAAATCCTGGGGACAGAGTCGACATTCAGTGCAAGACTTCCTCTTCTGTCAGCACTTATATGAACTTCTACCCAGTTTCTACCAGGACAAAAACCTAAGCTACTGATTTATTATGCTACCAGCCGTTTTGAAGGGACCCCAGATCGCTTCAGTGGAAGAGGAAGTGGCACTGACTTCACCTTCACTATCAATGGTGTGCGTCCTGAGGATGAAGGGGAGTATTACTGTGGCCAAGGCTACAGCTACCCTCTACACAGTGATACACTTCATGACAAAAACCTCCTTGATAACTATGACTGCAACAGTAGTTTGAATTGAGCTGTGCAAGATTTCTTTCGAATGTACATAGAGAGGCCGAAATGGGAATTCCAACTACCCCTTTTCTATTACACCTCCCAACACCTGAGAAATGCTAATAAATAACTAAAATGAGAATTTCTCTCATTCAGAAGAAGCTTTTTATCTATCCCTTTTTCCCTTTTTTAATAATAATATTTTATTGAATTTCCACAACATATACAATATCGGAGAGCAACAACCCACTCAAACTATGAGGACTGAGTTGAACATGCTATTTCATGGGCTTAAGAAGGGAGAGGGCCTTCTCAGTGGTGACCCCTCGACTCTGGAACTCACTCCCCAAGGACATCAGGCATGCCCCAATTCTGGCAGTCTTTAGGAGGAGTCTGAAAATGTGGTTGTTCCAGTGTGCCTTCCCAGAATAAGGAAACTCCCAGCAATATGTCTTCTTGTTCTGGTATTTATTTATTTATTTATTTCATTTACTTATACCCCGCCCTTCTCACCCCGGGGGGGGGGACTCAGGGCGGCTTACAGAGGAGGCACAATTAAATGCCTAAATCAATTGACAGTAATACAAAATACAAAAAAGCAATACAACAGTTAGAATTAAAACATCAGTGCATAATAAAATATTAAGACAATCTCATGCTCGGGTTCAGAGTCCATATATCCATTCCATTCCATTTGTCCTTGTCTGTCGTCAGATCCTTAATTTAGCTGCCAGTGTGTCCGAAGGCTTGGTCCCAAACCCAGGTCTTCAGTTTTTTCCTGAATGCCAGGAGGGAGGTCGCCGATCTAATCTCCCCTGGGAGTGAGTTCCACAGGTGGGGGGCCACCACTGAGAAGGCCCTGCTCCTCGTCCCCGCCAATCTCACTTGTGATAATGGCGGGGTGATGAGCAGGGCCTCCCCTGAAGATCTTAGATTCTGGGGTGGGACGTAGAGGGAGATCTGTTCGGTCAGATACACTGGACCAGAACCATATAGGGTTTTGTAGGTCAAAACCAGCACTTTGAATTGTGCTCGGAATTGGATCGGCAGCCAGTGGAGCTGGCGCAACAGGGGGGTTGTATGCTCCCTGTACGCTGCTCCGGTGAGCAATCTGGCTGCTTCTCGCTGGACTAGTTGGAGTTTCCGAGCAGTCTTCAAAGGCAACCCCACGTAGAGTGCGTTGCAGTAATCCAACTGGGATGTGACAAGAGCGTGGACCACCGTGGCCAGATCCGACTTCCCAAGGTACGGGCGCAGCTGGCGCACAAGTTTTAATTGTGCGAAAGCTCTCCCGGCCACCGCTGAGACCTGGGGTTCCAGGCTCAGCGATGAGTCCAGGATTACTCCCAAGCTGCTGTATGGCTGTACCAGGAGCTCCTACTTCATTTGCTTTGTATTAAATGTTGGCTTGCAGTCCTGGGTTTCAGGGACTCTGCAGATAGGTGGCTTCCTTTGGTTGCAGTCGTAGGGCAAGTCACCTGTCCATCATCATTAAGTTTTGGTTCTGCCCCTTGCTCAGGGCAATTGGGAAGGGAAGGGAGCCATTTTTCTCAGCAAGGAAAGCTAATGTACAGGATGTGTGCAAGCTTTCCCTTTACAAAAGCTTCAACCCTTAAGACAATCTTAGGAGCATCAAAGGATCTCCAAAGATTTCCAGCGAAGCATCCCCAAAGCTTTGAGGACTTTCCGGGGGGAGAATAATCTTAAGAGCAAACCAGAGAACTCCAGCTGGAGAGTCTACTGCCTTACTGGTAGGTCCACTCGGCGTTCGAGATGCAATTCGAGCCCACATCAGTGAGGATTAGATTACAGTCAGCCTGGGAGAAGTTAAAAAGGGGATTTTCCTTTAAAGTAAAGAATCAGTTTTTGAAGACAATTGCCTGTCCTTCATGGGCAAGATTAGGAAGTCACCAGTTGCCTAAAAGCCTGAAATCATTTGTTTAATTTTACTGAAGTCAAGAGAAATTTCTGTTTGTTCATTAATAAAGGACTTTGTTATACTTCACAAGCCATCTGAAGATCATTTGTGGTGGAAAACCTCTGAGAACTTCTCTTTGGGCCCCCTGGCCTCCCGCTGGGCAAAGGTTGCACGTCCTCACTACCTCTGAGGATGTTGCCATAGATGCAGGCGAAACGTCAGGAGAAAAATTGCCTCCAGAACATGGCCATATAGCCCGGAAAAACCTACAACAACCCAGTGATCCCGGCCATGAAAGCCTTCGACAATACGTTGCACGTCCTGTTCTAAAGGAAATTCTTTACAGGCCCAGCGCTCAACAGAACACTTCTAAATGCACTTTATTATTGATCTAGGAATGTCTGCAGGCCCATCCCTCTCTGAAAACTCTATCCTAGTCATATTTCACCTGTTCATGCTCAGCATTATTTTTAAATTTTAATTATTACATTTGGCCCAGCCATAGGTTTTTAAGCGTCATTGTGTTACTGTTAAAGTTTATTGTTTATTTTCTGTTATGAGTTTTATTTTATTGTTTTGTACTACTTGTTGTTATTGCTTTTATTATTGATGTATTGTGGGCTCGGCCTCATGTAAGCCGCACCGAGTCCCTTGGGGAGATGGTAGCGGGGTACAAATAAAGATTATTATTATTATTATTATTATTATTATTATTATTATTATTAATATTATTATTAATATTATTGTATTGAAATGGCTATTTTGTGATTTCTAATAGAATTCCTTCTGAGTAAAAAGAAAGCCAGTAAAAGATTGAAATTATTTCGCGGTGTCTGCCCCCTTAGAGAAAACAAGGATTCCATGCCAGGGTTTCAATGCCAGTCATTTTAGGGAGTGGAACAAGGTGGATGTAACTGCCACTCACAACACTGCCTCCTCTTCCCAAAAATACATAATGGCAGGTCTCTGGCCAAAGTGGTCCCTGGTCAAAGTGGTCCCTGGTCAAAAAAGGGTTGAGAACTACTGGGATAGATGAACCAAGGTTAACCCATTGTTTTATCTCTCTTGTGCTATGTGTGTGTGTGTTGACATAGACCATGTCAATTTAAGATTATACCCAAACCCTTCTCCTCCTCTGACATGTCCCTGGTTGTTCCCCCTATTTCTCTCTCTATGAGTTGTATTAGCACAGTGGTTCTCAACCTATTGGTCCCCAGATGTTTTGGCCTTCAATTCCCAGAAATCCTAACATCTGGTAAACTGACTTGAATTTCTGGGAGTTGTAGGCCAAAACACCTGGGGACCCACAGGTTGAGAACCACTGCATTAGCACAACATATCTCCACTCTGCTGCCTTTTAAGAGGGATTTTAAGAAGCCGCATTCATAATTTTGATCAAACCGAGAGCTCATGATATCACCGGCTCAGGAACTTGATTGGTGGAAGAGTCACTTTAGGTACCAGACTATAGCACTAGATATCCCAGCTCCATGTGCAAAGCCAACGAGAGTAACCAAAACAAACAAACAAATAATATTGACACTTATCATATATAAAATACACAGATCATTTCTCCATATACAAATGCATACTGTTCTTATTTCTGTAAAGCTAAGTCTTAACCAAGTAGCAATTTCTCTAAGGCTGAAGCATTTATGCACGAGAATGAAAACAAAAGAAGAAATTCATTAACTAATGAGAGTAGTTTAGTCTGTAATGAAAACTAGTATAATGTATTATTTCCAGATGTGTGTAACCTTAGGGAGAACAACTGTTAAAGACATAGATTTATGAATCCTAATAGAATATGTATTAGGTAGATGCTTTCTTAGCAAGAGCAAATGGGGACCCTCATATGCAGGGGCGGCTCAACCCATTACGCAAAGTAAGCATTTGCAGTATAGTTGATTTTGCCCAGGGGCGCTCTTGAGGCGCTCTTGGGGGAAAATAGACCTTGACATATGCGAGTTCTAGTTACTGGGATGTATAGTTCACCTACAATCAAAGAGCATTCTGAACTCCACCAATGATGGAATTGAACCAAATATGGCACACAGAACTCCCACGACGAACAGAAAATATATATCAATGATTGGTTTGGGGGGGGGGCGCCAAAATACTGTTTGCTTACCGTTGAAAATTACCTAGGGCCGCCTCTGCTTATGAAAAGTCTGAGAAAAAGATCTTGGAGTCCTCGTGCACAACAAATTCAACATGAGCCAACAACGTGATGTGGTGGCAAAAAAAGCCAATGGGATTTTGGCCTGCTACCCCTCTATTCCGCCTTGGTTAGACCACACCTGGAATATTGCGTCCAATTCTGGGCACCACAATTGAAGAGAGATATTGACAAGCTGGAATGTGTCCAGAGGAGGGCGACTAAAATGATCAAGGGTCTGGAGAACAAGCCCTATGAGGAGCGGCTTAAGGAGCTGGGCATGTTTAGCCTGAAGAAGAGAAGGCTGAGAGGAGATATGATAGCCATGTATAAATATGTGAAAGGAAGTCACAGGGAGGAGGGAGCAAGCTTGTTTTCTGCTTCCCTGGAGACTAGGACGCGGAACAATGGCTTCAAACTACAAGAAAGAAGATTCCATCTGAACATGAGGAAGAACTTCCTGACTGTGAGAGCTGTTCAGCAGTGGAACTCTCTGCCCTGGAGTGTGGTGGAGGCTCCTTCTTTGGAAGCTTTTAAACAGAGGCTGGATGACCATCTATTGGGGGTGCTTTGAATGCGATATTCCTGCTTCTTGACAGGGGATTGGACTGGATGGCCCATGAGGTCTCTTCCAACTCTATGATTCTATTATTCTATGAAACACTGGACTCAGTAATCCAGGATTCAGAGGACATGATACCTGGCTCCAGAACATGTGATAGTAAAATATAGCACCTCCAAGTAAAAGTCTTAATATCCAACTCTATTTCCTCTGACATAGGTACACAAACATAATTGCTTTTTCTTAAGGTGGACCTTGCTTTTCCAAGTAATACCTAGCATGTAATTTATTTTAGTTCTTCAATAGAAAAAAATGGAAAAATGGAACTAACAGAGGTTACTGTCTTGATAAAATATTATATTTCTGAAAATATTAAATACTCATGTC